TACGTACCTTCTCATGTATCATGGTGGCGCACAGGTTGAGAAATCCTTCCCCAGGTTTGGGTTTTTTTAAGGAGTTACCAAGGCTTTCCAGCCTTCAGAAGGGTATATGAACTCGTCACTGCTGAGGTAAAAATCCTCCTTGAAGTGGGTGATGTCTCTACCTAACCTTGACAATACAGCTGTAACTTCTAAACCTCAGAGTGTTTTCAAAGACGCTACAAATAGCACTTGTCTTCCTTACTACCGTTAACATTCATCAAAGGAGGTCAGTATGATTTGTCATGTTTTACAAAGATGGAAATAGATTATGAAACTTAGGAACGTCCTTCAAACTTTTGCATTTTTAAGGAATAACTTATTTATTCTTCTGTCATTTAAAATTTTTAAGTGTTCTAAAAGTTCCTTGGCACACTACTAATGCTGGCTAACAAAATCTTGAAATAATGCTATGGCATTGCATTTTAATGAAAACTGGTTATTTTAGCATTTAATTTTGAATATGCTCATAGTATTTCTATTTTAGCCTTTGATGTACAAATCTCCTCAGCAAGAAGAATACTTAGAGTTCCTGTTCCTGTAGGAAAAGTAGAGCTGGAGGAAGTAAAAACATCCCGTTGTCATCTGAGCGACTCAATCCCTGATCAATAGTGCGATAAAGGCTTCAGTAGGAAGATAAAATGCGCTTGCTAGAAAAGCTGTTCCCCCTGCCATATTCAGCAGAAAAAGCATTTTGACAGTGCCCATTTATCAAGAGCAGGCCAGATATAGCAACTCGACGGGGTCTTGTGTCTCAGACGTTAGGGATCCCAGCCCTAGAAGGACTAAAGCTTTGTGTATTAGTATGTATTGAGCCTCCTTCCAGGTGGCAAACAGCTGCACCTTTTTATAAAACTTCAAAAATACATCTGAAGTGCTTGCTTTCAGCCGATAAGTGTTATATTTAATTGAACCGTTCTGTAAATGTTATAGCTCAGGCACCCAGAAGGATGGTGAATATTTAATATATTTGTTTTGTATCTCCACCGGTCAACAGAATAATGAAATTCCTTAACTACTTCTCTTTAACTTGCCCGAAGAAAGCACGGTATGTTGCTAAATCGCTTTTCACCGGCCCTGCCGAGAAACAACTTTAATCCTTGTTAGAAAATTGCAGAGTCTGGGCCTGACAAAGAGCTCATGCCTGGCGCATTGTGAGCGCTGGGAGCGGGGCGAGGGGAGCCCTTTACAGCTGCGTGCCTCCAGCCCGCCTCAGCTGGACTATTTAGGCGAGGAGGTTTGTCAATTCCTCCCGACAATGGAGCGAGTTTTTCAGTGCCTGTAGCCGCACCGAGCCGCCCCGTTGGGGATCAATGCTGGCAATTCAAGCTGCACCCTCTTTCATTGCTTTGGTTTGTTAATTTAAGACTAAAGGTCCGCTGAGGGGGTTTAGGGTGTTTAAGAAAGCTGATGAACTGTTTAAGAAATCTGATGAACTGAGAGCGTTTATAGCCCTGGTGTGGCAACTATTGGCACTGAGGGAGCTGTGTCCTTGTTGACCCTCTTGTTATTAAAAATGCACAAGTGCTGCGCTTCTCAATATTTCAA